ACTCAATGAGGGCAAGGGAGGCAGGGTGTAAAGGACCGACTCTACTTACTCTCTTTTACACTTGCAGCAATGATCAAAGCAATGTCAAAGGGCAGTAGAGTAAGTGTACAGCAAGTACTACTGTACCAACCAAGAACAGAAAGGAAAAAACAAATTGCTAGCGCGATGCAGCTTGCCCGTTTTTCTCTCCAATTCTTTTTTTCCTTTCCACCTTCTGGGAAATTTCCCGTGAATTTTCCTCAGTGGGCTGTTTCGTTGTCACCCACTAGAGTTGCGAGACGATGCAAGTGGCAACGGTCAAGCAAGGGGAGTCAGTCGATGGTTTGGGGAAATCCAAGAGTAAGAACACAATCAAGAGTTCAATTTCAACAATAGATCGAGGATAGAAAGGGTCCTAACAGAGATGGGGTTTGAACGGAAGTTCAAGCTTAGACAACATTGAAAAGAAAACAACAAGCGCAAGAGTAGAAGAGGATACAGAGTTGGAGAAATATTAATCAAAAGTAATAATAACAATAATAAATTAAACCAGTCAGCTGGGACAGCTCTAGTCAGGACGCTAGTAGCTAATAAAACTAGTCAAGAGTAGTCAGTGGTGACTAGACTAGACTAGAGCTGTGAACAAAAAAGCCAGTTTGATTTTACGGTCAGTTGGAAACAAACAAGTCCATGGATGAAGTCTGGGACTCTGGGACCTGCAACAGCACTAGTGAGGTCCCGATGTCAGATCTAGTAATAATTGACAATATTGGCCATAGTTCTCCGCGTGATGTAGGACAAAAATGCACAACTCTTAAACTTCATTGGCATAACAGCAACATAGTTCGGAGAATTTAATAGATTTTTCAAGAGACTGGAGCTGTCAGGCGTGAAGTCTCTTTTCTGGAGAGGACAGAGGGAGAGGAAGAGGGAGAGGAATTGGAACTTGATGGAAAATTGCCCTAAGACGCAATTGTCAAATTGGCAAAATGATTACACCTCCCCTTCTTCTTCTTGGTGCCAAAATCCTTCTGTGCCAAAACTCATTATGTGTTGTATTAGCCTGGACCCCCCTCTTCCCCCCCTCTCTCCGAGCTGAGAAACCCACTACTGTCACACTAGTGACAAACACAAATCGGCCCAGGATTCTATGAATGTATTCCGTAAAATCTTCTTATTCATCATCCACTTCCCTCTCCAAATCTAATCTTGGATCTGAGATGTATTCGCCTTGATTGCTTAGCGTAAAGCAGACAAGCAGCAAAAAAGAAGAAAATAAAATAAAAGAAGAAGAATCAGGAGCAAAGACCAGGGTTGATATGTGCCGTGCCACAACAACTAGGGCATCCCCCGGGGTGAAGTACCGAAAACCACACAAGGTGGAATCGTCAAATGGGACCAAAAAATCAGGTACACCCACGGCAAAGGACTGCACGCTTTATGGTTGAAGTGGTCCCTCCCCGGGTGCTTTCGCCTCGGTAAGTCGATGATGAATCACCCAAGGCATTTTCAACACTTACAAAGAGATTCAGCATGTAAAACAGGTTGTCGTAACAATAATAATCATAATAATAATAATAATAAAAACAATTAATATGTGGTACATCCAAAGTTTCCAAATCCTCTTTCTATCTCTTCAGTAGTGCTACCTTGGTTTTTATTTTTAGCCCTGAGGCTGGCAGCCAATGAGGCCCAGCTGATCTACTATTTATCTTGTAACGCAAGTTTTGAGAAGACAGGTAGAATATCCTGGAAGTTTAATGTCTGACACATGGCCAACCGCGATTGCAATTGGAATACTCTATTGATTGCGACAGGAATCCGTCATCAACAACTCAACCCTGTTCGTTCCCAAAGCATACCTTATGAATGGCAGTGGGATCTGATGAGTGAAGAAAAGACGGCGCAACGGGGAATAGACTGGGCAGGCAGGCAGGCAAGCCACCCAGAAGTGGGCGGTACCTTTTCCTCCAGTGTTTAAGGAGAAAAAGTGGATGTACGTACTACGATTGTGCTGATGAGGGTAAGTAATAATGAGGGCACCAAGTGGGGAATGACCCAAACCTCAACTGGAATATTCCTGGAACAGGTACATTAGCAGAGTGATCGACAAATGATGAAGGAGAAAATTTGCAGCCAGACGTAGAGGCCTCAATCTAAGGAAATAGACTTGCTCCAAGTGGCTCTGAAATTAGGCTGGACGTGAGGAGTGCCCTTTTTGTCTAAGCCAGAGCCAGGGTAGAGAACGGGGCGCGCAACAGACGATCCAGACTTCTTTTGGGTCGGTAACAGTCGGATAAGGACTGTCTGTTAGTAACAGGCTTCTGTCTTCCATGAAGCATAGTTAGTGTGGTCCGAGCTGAATCATCAACAAATCGCTCTCACACAGTCTGTCACTGAGACTTTTAGTCTTAGATCGCAACAACATCCAATTGTTCTTCTCATGAATATATCGGGTACAATACGTGTTCAGAGCCCACCCTAAAAATCAAGTCTACTCTGCCAGTCGGCCAGCAAATGTATCAACTGCAGTTGTGTACAGCGTTGATTTGTCCTCTCTGCGGCACCACTGCTGCAAGTCTCCCAGTGGAGATTGGCTGCATCATTGAAGGCTGCCTGTATGCTGCCGATAAGGACAGAAAGTACGGAGTACTGTGCATACATACATACAGTACAACACTACAGGTTCCCGGAGCCCGTTCCCGTCCATCATCCTACATACTTCAACCATTCAACTTCTTGGATTCGACTGATCATGGTGTGTGATGTGCTTGTTGACTATCATCGGACAAGCTGTTAGGGGCAGACAGTCGTCTTGGACACTTAACCGCCCTTCATATATGTCCCCTTTACCCCATACTCAAAAAGCTAATGCCCCGTCCATGTCCAAGGATGATGTTCTGGCCTGCCGGCTTGGACCATTGAACTATATTAAAGTATCTGGATCGATATGTCCAAAAAGGCACTGTCAATCCTGCATATCCCGCTCCACTAGTGAGTAGTGATGGAGCAATGAGTCTGCTTCCACCCTCTTTGTCGTCTATCCTTGATTGATGGAATTCTACGGAGTACGGAATACACAGAAAGGAATCTTTCCTCCCCACCACCGGGTGTCCCCCCCCCTCCTCCCTCTCCATCCCATCTCAACCTTCCAGCGCAATCAGAATTTACTCACTTCTGGACCAGAGACACCCACCGTCAGCCGTGCGTGGATGTACCGATGCAAGTCAATAACAATAACCATAAGCTCCTCTGTAGATTTATGCCAATTTGTCATTCAGCCCTGGTGCTGTACGGAGTACTGTACACCTCTCTATCGTATTTACTTTCGGAACACAGAAATAGTCTTCATCATCGCGAGATTTCAGTTCAATCAATGTAGTTTAGTCTGCATGCAAGGACTGCTACCCACTACTACCTGCTGTACATTGTCTCCTCCAGCCTACAGCCTACAGCCTATTATACTGTAGAGTCGTGCAGACGGATGCAATCCCACCTTACCTCAGTGAACTGTCCATCCCACAGAAGTCATGGACATCAATCCCGTTCGACAAACACATCAGCACATTTCGCCAAAGTGAGGCTGCGAGCAGTAGACCTAGAACACAAGCGCTACAACTGGAGGATCACGCCTTTCCGCCAAGGGCAGGGTGAACTAATGGGACCCGTGTTTTTTCTCATAGACTAAGGTACTGTAAGTAACGTTCCAAGTCTCTCATTCTTCCATCAGCGAACGAGGAAGGCCCTTACAAAAGGTGGCAACCACCAACAATGAACGTCTCAGTTTCTCATTTGGTTATGTTCTTATGCAGCCCAGCGCATGGATCTATTTGGCGGGAGCCCACCCCCATCTAATCAGTGTCGTGTAGTTCCCAGACAAGTCAGTCAGTCCCTTTTCCTACCCCTCCCAGATAGTCATCAGCAAGTTGTCTCTGATGATGATAATGGTGGGATCGGAAAAGGAACCTGAAGTATCTGAAACTTTCCCTTCATTGACGCCGTTCTCGTCCTTTCAAAAATCAGTGCGAACATCCCCCCTCCCAAAAAATGAGTTCTTGGGTCGTCGTTGACCTTTGAACAACGCGGGATTTAGACTGTCTAATCGATAGGTTAGACTAGTGGCCTTCAGCATCTCTGGCATGAGGCGTTCGGGCTGTCTCAGTCCGCGGCACCAATCAATCACAACGGGCTGGTCCCTCTTGAAAGGGACGTTGAAGCCGATGCGGTAAGACTGTAAGCTACCTATGGAGTAGCTAGTCCCAGAATTGCTGGGCCTCGCACCGGATATTTGTACTACGCACTTTGTAGTAACTAGCCCCTGCTAGACCACACGCTGCTCAAGGGATTGGGAGCAAATTACAGTGGTAGTCCGTCGGTAAGATGAAGAGGGTCAGCATACCGTACCTAGGTGGGACGGACTACTTTGTGCCTTTGTGGACACGCGCACAGTCGGCGGCGGCCCACAAACAATTCTGAACGATTCCAGAATATCTACCACACAAAGGATAGATTCTCAGAGAATATCTCTTGTTGAGCAAAAACGACACCATTCTTCACAAAAACAAGCATGCACACTGGTTAAATCGAGAGGAGAATTTCTTCTTCTATTGTCACATGTTCCCACACCACATACTTTTCTTTTGTGGTCCCCCAGCCATAATGTCATTAAGTTACAAAAATGTAGACACTCCATGCATCCGAGCCAACGGATTGCCCTCCGTCAAATACAAACGCTGATCCGTCCCAAGAAGTGCGAAGAGGAGTTTAGGGAAGGGGATAAGAGGACATCAAGTAAACAGCAAGGTGGAAAAAAGGGAGAAAGGGTAAAAAACAGAACACCCATACACCGAACAAGAGGATCAATCAAAGCTATCGGTATGTGTACATATCATGCATGAAAACAAAAGTGTAGAGGGAGACCCTCTAGGGAATACTGAGAAAGAGATAATACAAGAATATCCCACATCAAGAGACGGGATTTTCAGTCAGGGTAGAACATTTAGGCCTTGTTCTCACCCTCGGGCTTCTGCTGCTGCTGCTCAGCCTGGGCCTTGTGCATCTTGTCGAAGAGGGTCAAGCTGGCGTTCTGGAGCTCGTCGGTCTTCTGCTTGAACTCCTCAGCAGTGGCGGTGCCCTCACCGGACTGGTTCTGGGCGATGAACTCGCGGAGAGAAGCAATCTTCTCACGGATCTGCTCGGCCTCGGCCTTGTCGAGGCGGTCCTCGAACTCCTTGAGGGCCTTCTCAGTGTCGTTCACGACGCTGTCGGCACGGTTGGCAGCCTCGATGGCGGACTTGCGCTCCTTGTCCTGGGCACCGTACTTCTCAGCATCTTCAACCATGGACTGGATCTCAGAGTCAGAGAGACCAGAGCCGGAGGCGATGGTGATGGACTGGTCCTTGCCAGTGGACTTGTCCTTGGCAGCGACGTGGACAATGGAATCGGCGTCAATGTCGAAGGTAACCTCAATCTGGGGAACACCACGGTGGGCAGGAGGGATACCGACGAGCTGGAAGTTACCGAGGAGCTTGTTGTCCTTGACAAGCTCACGCTCACCCTGGAAGACCTTGATCTCGACAGCAGTCTGGAAATCAGCGGCAGTGGAGAAAGTCTGGGACTTCTTGGTGGGGATGGTGGTGTTGCGGTTAATCAGGCGAGTGAAGACACCACCAAGGGTCTCGATACCGAGGGACAGGGGGGTGACGTCAAGGAGGAGAACGTCAGTGACCTCACCAGCGAGGACAGCACCCTGGATGGCAGCACCAATGGCAACAGCCTCGTCAGGGTTGACGGACTTGGCGGGCTCACGGCCGAACATGGACTTGACGGACTCGGTGACCTTGGGCATACGGGTCATACCACCGACAAGGATGATGTCCTGGATCTCGCTGGACTGGAGGTTGGCATCCTTAAGAGCCTTGCGGACGGGCTCGATGGTGCGGCTGATGAGAGGGTCAACCAGAGACTCGAGCTGGGAGCGGGTCATCTTCAGGTTGATGTGCTTGGCACCGCTGGCATCAGCAGTGATGAAAGGAAGGTTGATCTCGGTCTGGAGGGAAGAGGACAACTCGATCTTGGCCTTCTCAGCAGCCTCACGGATACGCTGAATAGCCATGCGGTCACCGGAGAGATCGAGGCCAGAGTCCTTCTTGAACTGCTGGACGATGTGACGGACAAGGGAGATATCGAAATCCTCACCACCGAGGTGGGTATCACCGTTGGTGGACTTGACCTCGAAAACACCCTTCTGGATCTCCAGAACGGAGATATCAAAGGTACCACCACCGAGATCGTAGACGGCGACAACACGGTCAGCCTCCTTCTCAAGACCGTAGGCAAGGGCGGCGGCAGTAGGCTCGTTAACGACACGGAGAACGTTAAGACCAGCGATCTGACCGGCATCCTTGGTGGCCTGGCGCTGGGAGTCGTTGAAGTAGGCAGGAACAGTAACGACAGCGTTCTTGACGGGCTTGCTGAGGTAGTTCTCGGCAGTCTCCTTCATCTTGTTGAGGACGAAACCACCAATCTGAGAAGGAGAGTACTTCTGGTCGCGAGCCTGAACCCATGCGTCACCGTTGGTGTGCTGGACGATCTTGTAGGGGACCTCCTTGATATCACGCTGGACCTCAGCATCGGTGAACTTGCGGCCGATGAGACGCTTAGTGGCGAAGAGAGTGTTCTCGGGGTTGACGACGGCCTGACGCTTGGCGGCGATACCGACCAGGCGCTCACCATCCTGGGCGAAAGCGACAACGGAAGGAGTAGTTCTGGCACCTTTGAAATGAGTCAGACGCGAGTTACTTCAGGTTGTGTTGCGTTCCGACTCCACACTCAGGAGTGTAGTGGCGGCGACTTAGGGATAAAATTCTTCACATACCTTCGGCGTTCTCAATGATCTTGGGGGTCTTGCCCTCCATGACAGCAACAGCGGAGTTGGTGGTACCTATTCAAGCACGTGAGCTTCGAGTCTCAATTATAAGAGTATTTGTTATTCTCGACATACCCAAGTCAATACCGATGACCTGACCCTTCACCTTCTCCTCACCTCCCTCCGTGGAGTTCCATCTCCGGATAGAAGCACCGGGAACTCTGAAGGCAGGGGCACGAGTGAAAGCAGTGCGCGGGAGCTGCGAATAATGAACAATGTTAGTTCTGCCATTGCGCATATTATATCGAACGTGATGGGGATTGAAACCTACCGCGCGAGAGATGCGAGAGGACAGCATTGTGAATGTGATTAAAAGAGAGAGATAAGATAGGTATTAAGGGAAAGAGAAGTATAGAAGCACTCCGGTCGATTCAATCGAGAGGAGATGATGAATAGAGGTATAAGGGTATAGGTAGGATGAGGTGAGAAGGGAGAGGTAGGATGAAAGAGACAGGTTTTTTGCACTGATTCCGGGGAGGAAGAAAGTAAAAGAAGGGAGACGGCAGGCGTCGTAAAAATCGTCCCGGAGAGCTTCGGCCCGTCGTCGAACTTGGTAGAATCACAGCAACGCAGCTAATGGGCCAATGACATTTCAGATCTGCTTCTGACCGCTCTGGAGCGTAGCCGGACCTGTGAGTCGAGTTCGAGAAACTACGAGTAAAGGAACGATCGATAGTAGTCATTAGTGGCGAATATTTGCCTCTCCAGCCCTCAATGGAGATTTATGTACAATACATGCTACGCCTGTGTAGACTATTGACTATGCATTTACCTTTTCTACCAAGCTCAGTGTCGCAGAACAAAATTCAAGAACTTGAGGTGCAAGTACCGCCGGCCGGCAGTACCCGTTCTCCAAGTCAGAAAGCTCCGATGAGCGGCCGCCACTTGATTAGCCTCTGCATGGTAACGATATCTAAGTATCCATCAGTGAGGCACTCCTCGCCATTTGCACAAGCCTGTTAAGTATGAATATTTTGATTGAGATTGCGCTGCTCTTTTCTTGAGACCTAGTATGATACTCCCTCTTTTAA